TTATTGTGTTTAGTTTTTTGCCCCATAATACCCTTAATTCTGATCACCTCTTTAAAGCGGTCAACCCGTATTATTATTAGGATGACCGTTCAATAGAGACCTGTTTGACCGTATAAAGTTTTCAAATGAAACTGGGTATTTATCTGCCTTCGATAATACAAGTTTGCAAGTAAAATGAAGACTGACGTCAGTTTATGGTCAGATCGACCTTGTTACGCACTCTTTGAGACAGAGATTACCTTTTCTTTCTGCTTGGTGAGGAGACAAGTCTGTCACTTAGAAGAAAGAGAAGGAAACATCTGTCTCGCAGGGTAGTCAATACAAGTCTACAAAATATTTTCGGAAGTGTCTGTGCTTGCTTTCGACACTTTCTCATGCCAAGCTTTCATAATCCTTTTGCAAAGATTATGAAAGGACTGCACCTAACCTAGGTAATTTCTGTAGCTTCTGCCGTGATCCGTTGCAGACTTTTTTATATGTTGGGCGCCATTTAGATTTTGTTGCATGCTTGTTGACTAACAAACTTCTCGGTGACTGTTTCTGCATGCGTGTCTCTGTATTATTGAATAGACGTCCTGTTGAGAATCCAAAATGCCCCTTAAATGTTAATGCTTGCAAAGCCAAATACCATAAAAATGATGGATCTGGAAACACATATGAATCCAGGAAAATATTCCCTAGTGTACTCATAATCTCAGGGGGAGGACCTGGGACTTAGGGACCATGATGTCCCAACTTTTTGTATAATTATACACGTAATTTCAATTACACAGTACATTGATCTCACAACTAGCAAAGCTGTCATCCACCAATGTTTTAATGAGGCTTCTTTCAAACGCAAAAGTGAGGGGGTGTTGCAGCAGTTGTAATACGTAAAGTCAGTATATGATTCACTGTCATGGTTTACACTTACAAAAATTTGAGACTTTGGTTATGGTCGTGTTTCCATTTTAAGAGGACGGTCAAGGAATGTGCAAAGATTTATAACGTGTGTGCAAAGCTATTGATCTGCTAATGAAACCTCATTGCTTAATGAATAACGAAAATGCCTAGGGACCGTTCATTTTTTATGAGGGAGGGGGGGCTGGTGGGATTTGGGAAGCACCATTTAAAAATC